CCTTTTTGGGAGAGACGTTCCTGAATCCAATTCGTTACAGTGGATATGGCCTGCATGTTCCTAGCCAAACCTGGTGGAAGATGTGCTTGGAGGTCGTCGACGTATCCGATGAGTTTGACTCCTGGCACTGGTGGCTTGTTGTTGAACTCTTTCATGATATCCAGGAGTCCTACACAGCAGCCGAACCCTCCCAAAATACAGCCTTGTTGAACTCCGCGCTATGAAAGAAGAACCTCGATCGAACCATCTTCCATTTTGAACAGAAAGTTCGCCTTGGTTCGAGCGTAGATGTTCCCGAACTACTTCACCAAGTGTGGCGTATGAGTGGCCACTGCTGGCAAGATGGAAGATCTGCGCATGCTGTTGTANCTGATGATGCGACGCAAAACCCCTCCAACTGCAATCGGCCGTTTTTTCGCTCCCAGCGCTGAAAGGTTGGCACTGGTGTGGAGGTTCCAAAAGAAATCCGGAAGCTCGTCTCCGTAGTCGAAGACTTCAAAGCTGAAGAAGTCCGCCAAGGTTTCAGTAAAAAAAACACTCACTCCCCCAGCTTTGAGATACGAAAAACGAAATCCATCAGGCCCCGGAGCACGTGAGGGTTGGATTTGTTTACGGTCTGCTTGATGAACTTGATTTCTAATGGTTCATGAGCTTCGGCGACGTAGTCTATCTTTTGTGTTTTAATACGTACTCCCGCAGCTTTGATGTTGGAATCCCACGCAGTAGCAATAATATCGTCAGGATCTTCGTTAGGGTGTAGGTTGCGAAGATGATCCAGCGTGTCGTTGTTGCGTGGTGGAGGTGCTGGGGAGATAAAGGCACTGGCAGCTTTCGTGATGCCCCCTCTTTCATGCGCAAGTCTTGTGGCTCTTCTCTGGCGATTGTCTTCAGTATCCGCATAACACTGAAGTCGACAATTTTTCCCGTACATCATGAGCCAGGCGATAGGTTCACTCAGATCACCATTTATTTGCAAAGCGGTTAAATCGGGATACCCTGTTCATCCTTCCATCAGTCGATCCATGCAATTCTGGGGTAAGATGAAGCAACGTTGTTGCTCGGACAAGTTGGAGTTGTCTTTCAACACGTGCTACTTCATATCTTTCCGCTGCAAGAGGAGACAGATCTGAGGTATCTGACTTCTGCTGATCTATGTGTACAGCTCCAAGTGCTTGCACGAAGAGGATGACGACATGTTGGAAGTGTTTGCAAAATACTTTCGCCAGTTGCGGATCGATGTGTTTGACTGTCGAAAAAATTGACGTTTCAAGAGTATCTTGTCGAACCTGATCCAGGGCACTGCTGACGTCGTCGAGGTCCCACGGTAATAGGAGTTGCCGCCTGTCGTCATCATCCNGGGGTAAGATGAAGCAACTTTGTTGCTCGGACAAGTTGGAGTTGTCTTCCAACACGTGCTGCTTCATATCTTTCCGCTGAAAGAGGAGACAGATCTGAGGTATCTGACTTCTGCTGATCCATGTGTACAGCTCCAAATGCTTGCACGAAGAGGATAACGACATGTTGGAAGTGTTTGCAAAATACTTTCGCCAGTTGCGGTTCGACGTGTTTGACTGTCGAAAAATTGACGTTTCAAGAGTATCTTGTCGAACCTGATCCAGGGCACTGCTGACGTCGTTGAGGTCCCACGGTAATAGGAGTTGCCGCCTGTCGTCATCATCCTCATGCGATGACTGCAACGACCCAGAGAGAGATGGAGACGATGTAGTATACAGTACCTAATTCGCAACAACGCTTAGTGCGTGGAGAGAAAAGGTCGCCGCATGTGGCTCATGCGGCGTATCCAGGTGCTTGGCTGCTTAGGCGTAAGGATCCAGGAGGAGACAAGCTGAGTAGTAGCCCCTTTCCTCGACCTTTATGTTGACGTTTTTGGTGTGTAGCCATCTTTCTCGCTGTCAGGTTTGTTGATCCTTCGCTGATGCAGAGGGGACATGAATACCGTACTTCCGTTGGGCATCGTGGCGCAGGTCCAGGTACGGGTAATGGTGGTGCCAAATCTTGGCTCATGACACCACTCATCGCCGATGCGACTGGAGGCTCCAGTGCAAAGCGATGCCACGTCAGTCCATCAGTCTACCGCTCGCTGCTGCTGCTACTACCTTCCACCATGCTACTACTGAACGTGCGTGGTGGAAGTGGTGATCTCACACAAACTGGCCAAGGGCTGAAGCAGCAGTGCGTGTGTGTTTTTAATCGAATAGTCAGTCATCCACGGCAAATTTGAAAATCTGATAAATTTGAATCTCAGAGATAACGTGCGGCTTCGTCGTCGTGAATGACGTCATCGGACGACCAGGGATTTTTTCCCCTTTCTTTTGAACGGTCCTAAAAGAATTGGCCAATCAATTAATTGCGAGTCACTGTATTCTCTCTAGCAGACTAGACTCACTGATGGCCAGAGGGGCAGGTTGGGTACGAACTACAACCCGGGGGGTGGAGGTTGGGAAGCCGCGTTCGACCTTGAACCCATTTTTTCTTCGGGTTTGCAGTCCGCCGTGTCGATTACAATATCGACACTATCCAAGATGCGGGATAACTTGCACACTTTGGGCTGCAACCTCCTTACAACCTCCCCCCCAGGTTGTAGTTGGTGCCCCAACCTACGCACAACCTGCCTCTGGCCACCCGTGCTACAAGTCAGCGCTGACAAGAAGTCTTCAAGTGGTCACCGTGCTTCTCAACAAAAGTTAATACCCGAGTCCGCCAAAACTTTCTTTCAAGTCACGAACACGTCTATTAGATATATTGGGGGTACTCGTAGCATAGTATAACGGGTAAGATGTTCAGTACGTACGTGCGGAAATTGCTGTGATGAGATGTGGAGGAACGGGAACTTTCTGCATATTTTCCTTGGTTGTGAGAGACTTTTGGCGAAGATTCAGAGAGATTCGTTGTGTGAGAAAGCATGAAGGCGTGACTCGATACCGTGATGGTTTTACGAGCACGAGCACGCCCCGATTAGTACAACACGTTTTTACCTATCCACGCCCCGTCATGGGCCACCCGCTCTAAACTCCAACCACATAGAACTGGGCCACCCGAATCATCGATCACGCTATGTAGCGCATGACACGTCGTCTACGAGATTCGCGGTCGAGCTTGATTATGGAGTATCGCTTTGCGGCGATCAAAAGCAGGGTCAAGATGGCTACCGCCAGGCGCGAAGGTGAAGCCTGCCGAGCAGCAGAGAAAGCAGCGGACAGACGCTCGGATCGAAGAGCTGGTGAACGAGAGAGTGGCAGCTACCCAAGGTCGGATGGAGCACCTGATGAAGCAAAAGATGGCCGAGAAAATGGCCGAGATGGAGATACTGCAACGGGCCGAGCAGCGGAGCACAGATGATTTCCGGAGCGGGACCGAGGAACAAGGGGGACAAAACCAGCAGAACGCTGGGAGCCCATCGCCCAACCCCTCCGCAGACGACCTCGCCCACGCGATCGCCAACGCCATGGCTGGTCGCCTCCAGACCTCATCCGGGGACCTCGGTGCAGTACCCCAATCAGGGACCCTTCGCATGACAGAGAGTAGACGAATTGCGCCTTAGGATGGTGTTTTCAAGCAAGGGGACGAGTTGCAGCAAAAGCTTTTGATTTTTAAGTCGAGCATGGTTGCCCGTTTTGCGCAGGAAGGAGTGCACGAGGTTGTTGTTGTTGTTGTTGTTGTTGTTGTCTTCACATTAAAAACCGTTCCGATCTCTCTCTATCCAGTACCTTCGTATGTCCGTACTGATCCAACATTCGACGCGGTCGATTCCCGTGGTCGCAGGCTAACTTACCCTAAAAAGGTACACTCAAATAAAATGGCCCCGAGGGGTCCGCAAGTCAATAGAAATCAACGCCAGATATTCTGGAGTCCTCCACTCCCTCTGCGCGCTATGCGAGGTAACAACAGAGACTAGGGGTCACCATAACGGGTCGGAGATAATGAGGCACACCCCCTTGGTTCAATCTTGGTACTTCACAACGCAAGCAGAAACAAGGCCATCTGGCACAGAAAAAGAGAGAAAAAGACAACAAGAGAACAAGAAGAAAATAAAAGGAAACAGTAAGGAAAGAAAACATGAAATAAAAAGAGCGAGGACAAAAAGGGACCAGGCCGAAAATAACAAGAAATAAGAGACAGGAAAAGGAACACGGTGGAGAGACCACTAACGACAAGCAAACACGCAAACATGGCCACCAACCAGCGATACATCGTAATGGTACGTCATCACTAGTGGGNCGGCATGAAACTTGATTGTCACATCGGTAGTTTACATGCTGATCCTATCAGAGATTATCTCTGACGGGAGCCCCAGTGGAGGATGGAGGATTTTCCTCAAATACTACGAGCCCCAAGCTCGTGCTGAGAAGAAGAGACTGTTCAAGGAATATCACGGGTTCAAAATGAAGAATGGAGAAGTTCCGCAAGAGTCCTTCGGAAGGTTTACTATTTTACGGAGTAGGCTAGCCTCGCATGGTACGACGATGAAGCTAACGACCACTTGGTGTCTGCCCTGTCGTCTGACTACACCCTTGAGAGGAGGAGGACACGGCAGTACGTGGAACGCCCTCAAAACAAGGCAACAAGAGGAAACAACAGCCCTGTTGGTTTCGTGCCTGTGAGCAGTGCTTCCCCTCCGCCCGCCCCGCACACCCCCCCTTGGTCAGGTACATCGCAAAGCTCTGAGACAGGGCGACAAGATATGTGGGTCAAGGCACGTGACAAGCCAGACTTTGGTTTCAAGCAGACCGGGAACGCCGACAATAGGTCATCTTGGGCAAAACACAATAAGTTCGCTTGACGGCCCATGCACACATGATGGAGATGAACTGGGCGATATTTACTTGAAAGCTGCCTCGAAAGGTCAAACATAGTCAGAATTGTGTGCCAAAGCGGGCGGGTGTTGACGAATTGATCTCGTGGCCCACAGCAAGCGTTTGGGTGCAACCGATGGTACTTTTTTTTTCTTAGGCTTGCGTTTACTTGAGAGCACGATGTTGGCAAGGGCAATTGAAGATGCATTACTTACAGAGCAACACGTGGCAAGGGCAATTGAAGATTGTCTCCACGACCACCGCCGCACAGGCGGTAGAAAGAACTTTCAATCAAGAGACAGTGTAAGCTTGTAGCATTTTCGGCTATTCTTTTTAGGGCTGCGACTTGATTTTTCTACGCGCATTTTCATTCTTGCGCGCATGGGCACCATCATGGATTGTTTGCACTCGAGTACCACTTGCAGATACCCCGCGTTGGTTGATTGAACGGTGGGTCGGTGTGCTCAGTGTTGGGTTTGTTGTGTTCCCACAGCAAAAATGCAATAACCTGGGGGTAGTGCTGCCTTCAGGGCTAGTCGTGTGGAGTTCGGTACCCCAGAGGGTCGGACAAACACAAAAAATGACAGTTCGAAGCAAAATATCAGATAAAAACGAATTAACCTTCCACGCACTGCGGTGGGTAGTATGTGCAACGGCATCAGCACCAGATTCAACCGGAGACAAAAAATCTGCCTCCTATGGACCGCGCAACATAGATAATACAAATCAACAGTTCAACACAAAAACAACGAAAATTGTCGATCGTATCAAAGCAGAAGCCCCAGAATATAGCCGTGCGAGCAACGAGGCTGCCTGTCCACAAAAGCACAAACATAGCAGAGCAGCTGGCCTTACTCCACGCCCCGAAGGGGAGCGTCGGTGCTGGTGTTCTCCCTGCAAGCACTCCGTGCCGCTGTTGGCACAGAGGGTGTAAGGTGCCCCCTCATCTTCGACAATCTCCTACGTAAGCGACGTGTTCGGTGCAAGAAAGCAGGTAGGGACGACGGAGGGTGGAAGGAGGAGACGGCATTTGCTTAAGTGCGGGAACAACCGACGGCCACGCGTAGTGTGCACCACGAAATACACTACCATGGCATCGATCTGTTTTTGACACATGGGCGTCGACAGAGCTACCGCGGCAACGACGCGACAACGAAGCACACTCAGTTTGGCGCGGTAAGTCGCCGTCACTAACCCCAGAATGTACACATAAGTCTAATTGGTGGTAGGTCGAACATACCCGAATGCACCATGCGGTGACTTCATCATGTGGGATACAGCCAAAGGGGTCGTGTCCTCGGGAAGACAGAGCGGTAGAGTGCCATGTTTGACCTGGCGGACTTGCCCTCCCTCCGATGAGCTTGATGAACGAATCGGGTCGGACGAAAACGTTGGTGGTGCGAGAAAGCCAAGGCAAGCATGGGTACACGCTTTGGTGAATGAATGGACAGCACAGAGTGGCATCGAGTGGTTCCACAACACACGTTGTCTCCGGTTCCATTCGAGGTAAACGCACCACATAACATAGTACACACACGTATAGGCGGGCACATATGTATGCTGGGAGACGAGCTGCAGCCTTGGCACTCACAGGAATACTATGCGGTCTCCAGCTGTATTGGAAAGCGCCTTGCACGCATTTCTTGACCCTGTCGGCTCCATCCCCGTCCACAAGGAATGCCTCAGCCCGCCATCCGTACATGAGCGCCGCGTGATAGACCCCGTCCTCGTCAACGGTATGGGTCGCGACCACCGTGTCTCCCTCGTCTATGAATCTTAACGAGGGGGCAGCGAGAACGACACCGACGAGTGTACCACCAGAACTTAGTACAAGTTAGGGATAGTTGGCCGGCGCATCTCAGTCGCCGAAGAACAAAACAAAAATAAAAATGACGCAGCCCGACGGGGTGAACATTCCCTGCCCTGTGAGTATGTCACTCGCCCGCAACCCGCACGTAGAAAAGACCTCGACAGCATTGCGGTTTCCCCACGTGTGTGCGTAGATTTGTATGGAAGAACAGCAGCAGCAGCAGCAGCAGCAGCAGCAGCAGCAGCAGATGCTCTTGCGCATCATCTGCACCCACACAGTAGTTTGAGCCGTCGCATGCTCCTCAGGAGAGCCATACACACGCGGGTGAGCGTATCGCTTACAGGCACCTGCATGGATGGGACTGGAGTCTACTGTGATAAATAGTCAGAGCGCTGCGTGTCATTCGTGCTATTACTTCGAAGTATAGTCGACGATCCACTATAGCGGTACCCTGAAAGCGAAAGGCCCTGAATAACGGCACCGACATCGCTTGGCACAAATGCATCTCTCAGTAGCGGCCTCTACGGAGGGGCGCATCCTATCTACTATAAGGACTCCAATAAATGTAGCTAGCGGAGCAGGATGAGGTGGTCATGGCTCTCGAGGCGGACACGGAGCCGGGATTCATTGAGAAGATGGACGACAGGTTTACAGAGGACTCCGATTCCGACGAGGAGGAGCTGAGCGACATGGGGAAGGTTGAGAGTGCAGGGGGTGGGAAGATGATGGCGCCGCCGCCGTACTCGGATCTGTCGGAGTTTTGTGGCCCAGTACACTCCGTCGGCTGGAAATGACGAGGCAGAGGGTATCTTCTTCGCAAATGTCGTTCCTCGCAGCCCAGCCACCTTTCTTGAAGGGATGTGTGGTTTGATTGTATCTTTCGTCGTCGCTAGCGCTGCTGTTGTTGTGGCTGTCGCGACCCTCACCAACCAGTGCGTGAAAATACCCGCGATGGTGACCGCTCTGCGAGGGTGCTATGCTCGCAGACGCACCGGCGGATTCTCCCGTTTGGGTAGGCTTCGGCTGTCCCTCTTGGGGCTTAGCCGAGCCATGGTTGGTGTTGGCAGTAGCGTCGGGACGCGGCGTTGCTGGCGGTTTGGGCGTCAGCTACGTAAGCTTTTTCTGCTGTTGCTGCTGTTGTTGCGACCCTCCGTCCCTTTTCTTCCCTTGCTTCCTTGGATTGGAGCCCATGCTTCACACGTGGGTTGCAAAGATAGAAGGCTTCGTCAAACGCCAATATGGATGACCTCTACTTTGGGGTTGTGGTGGCTATGTCCTGCCACCGGAGGTTGGCTATTTCCTTTGGTGCAATGTGGCGAGGAATGCCAAGCGTGACCAAGCGAACTCAGTCAAGCTAGGGTGGTGCGGAGGGTGGGCGAGCCTTCGTGGACTTCTTTTCCCATTCTCCTTAAGATCCATCAACTCTTCGCAGCCGTTGGGGGTCATAAGAGTTGGGGACCCTCGGAGAACAGAAATCTATTATCACATATTCCCTCAGATCCTGCCCTTTATGTACGTGTATCTGTGCTCCCTGAATCTCCATATCCTGGCCTCCACACACATCACCATATATATCTTTGTATCACAGGAAAATCTCAACCAAAAGCCACGACACGCTCGCATGCCCTTCACTTGTTGCATTGTGAACGATGGGATAATTGGTGTGCGAGGGAGAAGTAGCACACTTGCTGTAGAGAGGGTGATAGACTAATCCTGTCCTGTGGACAACACAATGACTACATCCACATGCGTCTCACGAAATACAGCGCATAAAAATAGGATGCCCCGGAAACCACCGTGTGCACCGAACCTCCCAGTACACAACCGCACCTGGTCATGACCCATCACCCACCCGCCACACAGCTAGGATTCTTGCTTCCCACAAAGATCCACGTCAGCCCCTCGCACGCCGTCTCTACAAACAAGCACCCGTTGCGAGCGAACAGCAGCAGCAGCAGCAGCAGCAGCGGACAACAGTCAACAAAACACCACCAGCAGGATCATCTCAGCGCTGTACAACACATTGCTTAGTTACAGTAGTAGTTCTTCGTGCATGCCGGCCATCGATGTCCTCCTGCCTACCGTATACCAAGGAGGACAACAAGGCACCACCGTCATATACCGCCGGTATTTACCATACCGCGCGTCTCGGTATGCTTCGGTACTTTTTCAATGCCTTACCGAAAATCTCGGTATGCTTGGGTACTTTTTTCAATACCTTACCGAAAATCTCGGTACGCTTCGGTACTCTCAATACCTTACCGAAAATACCCGTACCTTACCGAACACACCCTTGAATTTATATAGGTACGTCATATGTATACCCCTATGAATCGCATGCGAGTGAATGTATCCTGGACTGATTGGTCTGATTGGTCTGTGTTTAGGTTCCCATCAGTTGCTATTCTCGGCGCCAGCCGGCCTAGTCCTTTTGGGACACTGCTGTTTCATTAGATACTGCAGTTTTTTGAAGTGGAGAAAACAAAATGTCAGCCATCTCAATCCCATCGATCAAACTTTGGTCCCTACACATCATATTACACACAGTCGTCGTTGATGTTCATGTCGTCGGCTGCACGTGCTTACTTGCCTCTTCCAGGAAGAGACATATCTATGCATAGGGAACAAAGCTTCTCTCATCCGCAGCATCCATTTCGGGGTACAACATAGCAAAAGGCTCCGCTTGGCCCGCGCCTTCGACCGTTGATGACGCCATTGGTCTCCCGCTGCTTCATTTCTCCTCCTGCTCGGTTTGCCTGTCGCCCATCTTGCAGAAGATAGACCCCTTCTTTTTCCATATGGTCAACCGCAGAGGAGTAAAAGAGAACGAAGAAAAAGAGAGAGAGAAGCAAGACGGTCAGCGCACACACACGACTACAGCAATACCAAGCCACCACAGCATCAAACGGTGAAGCAACCAATCCACAGACGATGTCAGTTTACGTTCATGTACGACGGAATATGTCAATTTCGTGCTGTCTGTCTTAAGTGTTGCTTGCTCTCTCCACCCACCAACACAAGCACTGCTGTGAATTAAGGGTGTTCTCTGGGGCTGCTCCAAAATCCCAGCTCGTTCACGGTTACGACATACACGGCGCCCGCTGCTTTTGCCGACAACGGGCCACGGCTCGGGCGCTCCGACCCGAAAATACAATGTTCCTCCGGTTGTTGTCATGGTGCTGCGGCTGCCAAAGAAAGAATCAGGCCGGCGCAGCACGCAGAGGGCTGCTGTCTGTACGTGCTGCTGTCTGTACGCTGCACTCATTCGTGAGTATCTACACCTGACCGCGAACAATGCAACCAAAGACATCAGCCGCTAGCAGTTGCAACGAACGACGGTGACGGCCTGGACGCGTGGGGTGCATCTGGTGCACTGCGTGCGTGCGTTTTTTTCCTTTCTATAAAAAGCCAACGCGGGGAAGCTCTCTTGCCACGTTGCGTGCCATGGGCACACACGCACCCAGCTCTACAACTTGTACTGCGAAGGGACGCGCCCCCGAGGAAGGTTGGAGTGCTCACGTCTGGACCCTCACCGCATGCATGGACGTGTGGGCTGTGGAGGCGTGTACAGCAGTGCAGGTGAGGTTGTGTGTTCTTGCCGGAGGGGAGCCGAAAGATGGACGAGCTGGCTCTTAACTCTCATCTTACGACTGATGACGGACGGGTTGCTTCTCTCTCCGGCGGACCCAACGCCACTAGCAAGCTAAGGATACACTCGACTACATGCCAGCGTACGTACTCATCGCCACAGAAGCTCGCCTGAGCCCGTTTGGGGCTGCTCCCGACCACGCGCTTTTCGGGAGGGGAGTTGTGAAAATGCCCCTCCGCGGAGGTGCGGAGGTGTGTTTTGATTCCAAATTCGGAAGTAATTCGGGGTTTTACGTGCCGGTTCCGAAAATTCTCAGACCGAAGGCCGCAACTCCTAACGAAGGTTAACAATTCCTTGTTATGAGGAGATTGCCTGGCGACGACTGACTTCAGGGTCACACAGACCAAGGATCATAAATCACAATATCAAAGCAACGCGCAACAGGATCTGCTGGGTCATAGACACGGCATAGCCACAACGCGCACAGCAATATAGAAATCTATGCATACGGCCATGTTTTATTTACAAGACATCGTACTTTTTGCTTCTGACATGTACGCACACTACTATTTACTGAATATAGTAGCAGGTAGACTAGTAGATCTGCTCATCATGCTGTAGGCACATCTACCGCGTGATATAAAATTTCGTGACCTCGGGCTGAGAGTCTTTGCTAGATTTTGGCATTTAGCAACTGACATACGGTTTAATGTGAAGACAACAACAACAACAACAACAACAATAATATCCATACCGTTGATCTAGTGCGTAAATAAGGACGCTTCCCACACCCGCCCAAAGTAAAGTGTATCCCACGACGTATATTTATTCTGCGTAGCCCCCTTTTCGGAAGTCGGAACGTCTGTTGGAACGTGACTTGGAATACAGCAGGCGGGACGCTCTCTTCAGCTTGTGGTGTGAAGCCCTGCTTCGCCCACAGCAGCGTCGGCGTGCCGTTGGAGGACACTCGCCCGTCGTGTAGTCGTGAGCTGGGCTATGAGTTATGCAGGACTATCGGTCACCCTATGGGCGGTTGTTGGTGGCGGTGAGTTGATTGATCTCCACCTGGCGATCTCACAAGGGCTACTGGTGTTCGTACAAGCAGCCTGCTGGCTGCTTGAGGCAGACACAGCCATGTTTGCTACACGAAAGAGAGAGGGTCGATTTGACTCTCTGAACGAGGCACAACCATGCGCAAGGTGTCGGGAAAATCTTGACGTGTCGATGAATCGTTCAAGAAACGTCGTGGTTGCGAGTTGGGTGGTTTCATGTGTGTTCCTCCTCGTTGTCCCGTGAAGAAGTTGTAGTTTTGATTTGACTGCCACACCTCTTGATGAAGACCAGAATACAGCAGCAGTCGTTCCGTCTGCCCATCCATGTGTTGGCGTTGGCCACCTTGTCACCCTGTCCCTTCTCTCCCTTGCCACCGTGTGTCTCGCGTACATTCTCTCTGTTCCAGTCTTCATCTTGCTGCTGTTGGCGATGGATCGTTGGATACATTGCACCAGGAACTGGGCAGATTGGTGCAGTTGCAAGGTGAATGAAACGCAGGACGTACATATACGTGTACACAGATTAGGATAGGTGGCTGTCATGAACAAGACGAACGGCAGCATCGCACGCTGCTTTCACGCCCTCGTCCGTTGTGATGCGAAGAGGGCCAGCCGCAGCCACGGCCTGGCCAGGCGGACGAAAAATCGTGATCAACAACGAGGAAACACGCCGCCCCGACATGGGTTCGTTCCGGCGTCCTGTTTGTTCCGGCGTCCAACGGCCGATTCAGCGCGAATCAGTGTTTTACCCGTCGAGGTTACCAAACGAGTTCATCGACAGTTGAAGAGCCCACTTATCATTAGCGCGTTGCCCGTGAGTTTCGTCGGAGGGCCGCGATAAAGTTCACGAGAGCGCTTCGATTGAGGAGGCAGGGTACAGAACCTCTAGTTTTCCGTGTGGTGTTGATTGCGTCCACTGGCTTTCTCCTGCATGCCCTCCGTCGTGTATGATCCGAGCTTCTTTTCAACATTCTCACATCGTACACCGACACAGACAGAAGGAGGTGCTGGATAGAGAGACCGGGATGGTTTTTAATGTGAAGACAACAACAACAACAACACCGAACAGGCTCGCTCCCCTTGTACCTGGCGGTTTGCCGAGAGTCGCGTTAATCGCGGCACACGCCACGCACTACTTGGCAACAAGTTTTGTACACGGGGCAGATCTCTCGTCAACAGCAGGAGAGCTAGCTTTCATGGGGCCGTCCCCCTCGTTCTGTCGTCGAAACAAAGAATTTTGAACGCCGGGGAAGAAAGTTGCGTTGTGTTGTTGATTGCTGGGTTTTTGCAGCAGATTTCCGTCCCCTTCTTTTACTTGATTATCTTTCGTCCGTCTCTTGTTGTATGCATATCTTCTGCTGTCGGGAGGGCATTTTTCATTTTCTCAGTGACCATGTTTACTTCTTCTTGTACACCAGGCGCTATGCAAGTAACAGCTCTCATTAGTCGTTTTTGCGGTTGTTCATGTAGATGCAGACGTCACTCCACAACTTTCTAGTTTCTGATGCTAATGCATGTATGCATCGTAAAATGCTCGCAGACGACAGGCTTTCTTCAACCACTGCTGCTCTACACATTTTTTGTGGACTTTATAGAGCTAATGTGAGAAACAACAATTACAACAACATCTGTGCTCTCTGCTCCTATGCATCATTTCGTTGTCATTATTTTCCGATTCACCTACTACACCTTTTGTATCCCATGACTGTGTAGCGATTAACGCATCGCGTGTCTATGCTACTTACTGCCAGTAGACGCTACGAAATCGTTGTTGGACGAGATGACGACATCTATCATGCACGGTTTGCCCGTCTCTGTCTCTACCTGCACCAAGGCGGTTCACTTACCTGGTCTTCATATTGTATATATACATATATTTTTATTTTTTTTTGTGTTCACTTCAAATCAGCGCTCACAGCACTGGTGCCGTTTACTCCAACCTGTGGTGAAGAGGCCCTTCCTACCCTCTCCTCCTGCGGTACTTTGCCTTCGATTTTTAATGCGAGAATACTTCAGCACTCTCTTCCCTCTGTGTACACACGAACTATTAGAGCGCTATCCACCTTGGCCAGGAGCGGAAGCGAGAGAAAAACTCAGTTTGCAAGAACAGCTCGCTTTACGCCGGGATTCGAACCCTTGACCTGACCTCAAGAAGGGTTCGAGGTTTTCAACCAGACCACCGGGGCGACCGGCGCACATGGTAAGCAGTTAATAGGGTTGGATGTTCTATGAATGCATATCTACATATCTACATATCTTTGTCGTGGTTGCTACCGTCGTACCTACCATGCCCACGAACACGTATGTGTGTTCCTTCCTTGTTGCACTTCTTGTCCTTGCTTGTTTTTTTTGTTGCAATAGAAACCGCCGCCAGACCCGTTGGATGGCGTACCGGAGCAGCCTGACGTGGAGAACCAGGAAGGCTACCACCGCGAGCACGACCGGGACTTCGAACGGAATTGGCATCTGGTGGCGTTGCAGCGAGACGAGACGCAAGAAGAAGCGGAAGAAATCCTTCGATTGCGCGCCGAGGTAACACACCGCTTTTTAGCAATTTGCGTGAGGAACGATGTTGAATCTGCATCTCCTGGACGGTGGCTGGTTTGGTCGTAGCATACAAAAAGCTGTCCCGCGTGGTGGTTCGGTTGTGTAGTGTATGATGGTGTTTTGGCCGTAGGCACACACTGGTGTTGGCACACGTGCTACGCGGGTCTGTGACTTGTTTTGTGGATTCGTAATGGCTTGCGAGGAACGCGCTTGTGTCATGTGTCCTGTCTCTGCGGTGTGCCCAATCCGTGAAAACAAACACGTTTTCATGTGTTTTTGAGGCAGTTTTGGCGTACACCAGCAGCATGTGTCATCGCATCATCGTCTCTCACGGAAGCTACGGTGACATTTGGTTCCGTTTACGTGTATCGAGCGATCAAATCCTTTGTGGTCCATCGGCCAGATGTGACGGTTGTGCTTGCTGTTGCTGCTGCTGTCTTGACAGAGGGTCGTGACAAGCACTTGTTGCTTGTTGCCGCTGCCTAGGCGCCTATAGTTATACTACGTTAGTACCGCGGCTCGATGCCGTAAGATGACGCTGCGGGCATGTTTCTATCCGTGTGATGAATGTGATGGATGGGTCATCACGTGACGGCGTAGACTCGTGACGACTGCATAGTTTTGTCTCTCTGATACGCACACGCCAGGGTTTGTCTTTCCTGTTCCAGTGTGTCTATTTTCAAAGGGCGTGGCCCGCATTGTTTGGACAATGCGGACAAGAGTTATCTGCGTAAGGGACGGGGTTCCACGGAACACGGGCTGCTGCGCTCTAGCAATCTAGAATCTTCGTATGTGGAACCTCATACAACGTCGTGTCTACCTCTCGAACAAACAGAATGACTGCTTGCAAGATTTCGTGCAAAGGCTTTAGCTTGCGGCCAAACCGATGTGCGCCTCGAGGCTTGAATGACCCCTCTCAACCATCAACCACACCCGCCGTCCTTGTGCTGCCCGCTGGTTGTTGCTGTCGCTCGTGTGTCTGTCGGGGTGCTGGTTCTGTGTACCTTTTCTTCGTCCCCCGTGAACCAACCACCTAACTAAACTCCAGGCGGCTCGGAGACGTGAGCTTGAAGCGGCAAGTAGAGAGAAGGTTAAGATCGTGAGAGGTGTCGCGACGGTGCGAGGAATACAGACGGAATAGCCAGTAGGTTACAGGGTCCTCCAACTTCTCTCTAAGACCAGCTCTACCTGCAGACTTGGCCAGTACCATAAGGCGCAACACTAAGGTTATTCGGACAGGTGCGGTTGACTACGGGTGGGGATTGCTCGTGGTTCAGGGAAAAATCCTGCAACCCTCTCTTAAATTAATTGTCAAGAGTCTGCCCAAGACCCAAGCGTGTTTTTCGCCGCAGTCGGCCTTCCTCCTGTTCCTGGTCATTGCGTACACGGCGCAATGGCCCGCCAGACCTTTGGAGCCATGTACTAATTTGATGTATGTTTGGGGAAAGGTTGGGTGGGAGGGGGGTCAAGAAACAGTGCAGGCATATCAGGTCGTGCCAGCTGGAGCCACGTATGGTATGTGGCATTCATCAGAGTGAGCAGTTGGTGTCCCGTGCAGAACGGAACTGATGACGGGTAGGCAGGGTAGGCATTCCTAGATCGGAGACACTGCGTGGAAGGGGCGGTCGATCACACACATTTGCCACGGCATGAATCCTCGCCTTACGTGAAGGGCAGCATAATAATTTTCTGGTTTATCTCGTGGCCGAACGAACGCATCTGTGGAGGCTCTGCTTCTTTTTTTGGGGGCTAGAGGCTAGAGTGCAACTTCTCTTATTCATGTTCTCGCTGGCTTGCTGGTGTTGCCATGGGGGCTATTAGTAGAGTGAGACAAACAAGGTCTGTCCGTCGTCTCACTCTATTCGTAGCAGCGTGTCGTGTGTTGCGTTGAGTATTTTCGTTCCGGCGAGACAAGACCCTGGTAGTGGTAATGGCAGAGGAAAAGGGAACGGGGAATATCGATATTGATGTTATGGAATAGAGCGCTAATTTTTGTCTTTGTTGGTGCATGTTTGCGGCGGGTCAGCCCCCGCATTCCTCCGTCGCCTAAGACGACTGCTACGGGCACGACATGGTGTAAAAATACAGTCGTGCCGTCATTAATTTAGTGCGCCGAATTGGCTGCAAGGCTGCAAGAGCGTGTGTACCCTTGATAGCTACACACCGACCGATCTTCATCCCTCTGTCGGCTGTTTTCGGAAAAGATGGCTAGTATTTTCTTCGATTTTGGCTGTTTTTGCTTGGGGAGGAAAGTGAAAATGCGCTTGTTTTGTGCTATAATTGGTATCCTTTTTTACACACGTCGGTGGGGACAGGTGGGGGGTTAGCGCTAGCTGAAACAGCACCTCCGGATTGGTTGGTATTTGTTAGGTCCGGTTTGCTACCTTTACCTTTATTGCCAAAGTTTTATTTCTCGTACCGTCGTTCTAAATTCCTCGTCCGAGGGAATTCTTAGTCTTTGTTTGCTCAAGGCCTCTTCCGTGGCACGTCGATTAAAGAGAGGTAAGAAACGCGGTTGGTTGATCTCATACGACTTGATCTTGAAGTAAAGACGATACTTAATGTTTTGCTGTGTGCTTTCTACTGTGCTGGATGTTACGATACGATCGATCGTAATCATTTTCGCGGAGAATGTTGATGTTTTATTATTCGGTGTGTGTTTTCCCTGGCAGTGGCGGCTCTTCCTTGTCTTGTTTTTTTACACTTGATAATACACTTGTTATTTTTCTTCCTTCCTGCCATCGCGCGAGCACGGGAAGACTTTGTACATTAACCAACAGCCATCACCTCATCTCCCACGGAGAGGCAGGCGAGCAGCTACGAGTGTCACGCGGTACTACTGTAGCGGTACAAAGGATACCAAGTCGGGGAGTCCGATCGCCCGAGAGGCTTCGACTGCGTGCTTTTTACAAGAGCAAGCAGTATAGTCTATTCGCCATACAATATTTACGCTGTTGAAAGCACCCAACTTCCCCCCGCATGCGGTCTGGTCTGTATGGCCTGTTGGGTGAGAGATTCCCGGCGATTTTTCATGTTTCCGCTTGTTCCGTATCGGGGCAAACGATAGTCACGCCAAGCGACGGACAACCAAGGATTGGATAAGTTAGCACAAGGCTCCTCCGCTGTTGCCGAGAAAACCATGAGAGCGCAAATGAGTTACGAGTTATGGTAACAGGCAAGGATTTGGAGCGGCGGGGAGGGAAAAAGCCTTTCGAGCAACCCGAAACTTGTTTCTCAGGGTTGACCGCTCGGCGAACGTGAAGCCTTGCGTCCTGACCGTCTGCGCGTGTACATGCCACGGTGGTACTGCTGTAGCTGGTCCTTTGCTATCCTACGGTGGGTCAACGAGGGCTGCCCGACGAAGGTTTGCCTCGGAGAGCTTTCGTTTCTCGTCTCTTAAATGTATATCGGGTGTGCGTTTGTGCCGGACGTGGAACAGCAGTGCAAGCTACAAGCACAACAGAGGAGCTTTCGAGAAAATTGTTGCTGGTGCTACAGACCAGTACAACGATCTCCATTCATCCCTCTAGCTATACATGAGAGGGGCAGTGTTCAGCGCGATAAAGTTTACAGCGAGTACAGCCCAAATCTCGCGAGGCCGCCAAAAACGGGAACAGGCCGAAGTCATGTCTGTGTGCGCGAGTGCAGCGAAAGGGCCACATTTGCTCCAGAGAGGCCTGCTTCCACTGCGTCTCTTTGGAAGTTTAGCCGTAATCGTGCGCAAGTACCAGCCAGAGCCGCGTGACGTGCAGCACAATGCAAACCAGACACCACAAGGTTTCTCGGCCTTCGACTCGGGACAGACTTCCAGCAGCAGCAGAAAACTGCCATGAAAACACGTGGTACGCACTCGACCCAATGGTTTTGTGTCGGGCAATGTTTGTACACTAGCCTACACACGTAGTGTGAACACATTTTTTTTCCTTGTCATGGCACAAAAATGAAACAAAGAAAAGAAAAAGAACGACTGGGGAGACTGGCGGCACGTCGACATCTGGTACCATGGGTCAAACCACTGTACCACAGAACGCGAAACTTCCTGGTTTCCATCCTTAGCTCTCTTGCACAGAGCACAGAAGACAGAGCCAGCACCAACCCCGAGCCAAGCACAAACTCTAACCTAACCAACCTATGCACAATTCAACTTATTCGTCGACAGCAGCAACAGCAGCAGCAGCAGCATTATCATCGCCGTACTTGTGATGTTTGTGCTGTGCCCCCTCGACCAAGACCCCTGCCCGAGCTTGCCGTAGCGCTGGCCTTGAGCTGGGCCATGTCCATATCTGCCTTGCGAATCCTGTCCTTGGTTTCTGCGACGAAAGACAAAAGACAAAAGACAAAAACATAAGCAGTAGATACACGAACGAGAGGTTACATTTAAATGAGGCCCAACGAGTGCGGTGCGCATGAGCACGCCAGAGGGAGGGGTGTGCGTGACAATGTTTGCGGGCTGCGCCAGCGCTGACGGGGGTGTTTGTAGAAATAGGGAGGGACTTTTCTCCCAACGAAGGAAATACCCCGATATTTGAAACAATTATCCCGACGGCCAGACGAGGAGGTTTATCCGGTTTGATTGGAATGATGTACCTACACCGACGGTCAAAGGTTTGACTGGAATGATGTCGGGATTCCGGTTTTGTTTTTGTTTGCCCCCGGCTCACCTCGCAGCTGGTTGTGGACCCACTCTCTCGCCGCCGCCAAGCGTTGCAGGGTGTCGCCGTCAGAAAACGTCGAGAAGTGCTCCTGGTGCTCGTGCTTTCTCTGGGGCAGCAGCTTCTGGCCCAGCATGAGGGTGTTGTAGAACTCCTCGTACGGGTCGGTGAATACCACCTCGTCGTAGAACTCCGCCACCACCGCCTGCCACGAAACAAAAAACCGTGGGGAACCATGACCCCGACCAAGGGCAAGGCAGGTGATGATGGGGATGACCGCAGGAGACGATGACAGGGTTCTCGGGAAAAGACTCATCCTGGAAAAAAGAACGGGATTTCACTACTACGAGTTGAGTATCACTACTGGTACATGATATTTTCGGATCTTCTCATCCTCCTAACAAAGTGGCCAAAGGTCTCCGTGAATGCCTTCGTCCTCCCGCCCATGAACGCTTCTTCTTGACTCTTTGACATTTTGCGGCGGGAGTCATGTGCAGAGAGAAACACATGCAACTTTCGCGCCCCTCTCATCCGCCGTGAGCCCCCATCTTTGATGACCTTCGTCCGCGTGCCCCCCTTCCCCCTTCGCAGGCAGCCTCGACTCCCCAGCAACTAACCTGTGTTGGCATCAACTTCAATTACTAACAGCAGCAAGGTCCCGCTGTCAGAATCAGACGTCACGAGGCCATGGCCGTGCCTCCAACGTTGATACGCTTCGCGCGATATCCACAACACCTAGAAATCCCTTCAGCACTGCAGTATAATAGTATCCCACTCTACGTGTACCCGAAGGAAAACAATACGATACTCTACGTAAGTACCGCGAAAGGCTCCAAGGTTAAGAGGTGTGCGTGGGGCGGGGAGTGGGGGGGGGGAGCTGGAGAAGGCTACTTTTCGAGACCGGGGTGCCATGGTTCACAACAGGAAGACCAGTGACAAGATAAGAGTTGAGGTTATCATACAGTTTCAGGATACTAAGAGGTTGTGCCTGCGGGCGACGGACCGGCAATCCTAACGTCACGAAAAGTCGCCCCAGGGCACCAAAACGCGGAGGAAATACTGAACGGCATCATCTTAGTCTGTTGTGCTTTCATTCGTTGTCGTTGCCGTTGCCGTTGCCGTTGTCTTACCTTCTTGGGCTGAGTCGTGCCCGTCGCGGGGTCGTGGTACAGCCTCAGCTGATGCAACACGTCCACCGGTTTCTCGTTGGGATCCTTGAAGTGCATCGTCATCTTAGCCTCGAACTCGCCCCACCCCATCTCCGTAACCTCAAACGGTGGTGACGTGATCTCTGCAAGCCCAAACGTATATACCAAGACATCGCACCGACGGGGGGAGGTAGGGTCACTGAGATCGTGAATAGAAACCGCTCCCAATCAGCCAGATTCAGAGCCTACTGATCGAGTCTGGTCGAATCGAGTGCAGTGTTGAGGGGGTTGGGGCTTGGTGCATGTTCGCTGTGATCATGTTAGTATCTCATGGTTCGTCAACGTACGTTGTCGGCATGGGGGCGGAAGCTGAGCAACCGTGCTTCGCCAGGGGCAGGAAGCCAAAGGCCCAAGCTCTTCAACGGCATATACACATGCCGCCGCGTTGTCGATGCTACAGCGAGCATGCACGAAAAGAATCACACCCGCATCTGCTCTGCATAACATGTCAGAGACTGAGCAAATGATGAAGTCCAACGTGGCACTCAAAACTGTTCAGACTTGAGGTTGTATAGGGGCCTGATGAAGCGGTTGCCTCTGAACTGCTGCGCAGCCATGCCGCCGATGCTATCAATGCCTTGAAGTTTTTTTAACAACACGCCTTCATCCATGCATACATCAGTGGTACATTCTACCACCACCCTGCGAAACTTGTCGTTGCAAGAGCCTGGTGAGGTGGATAACCGGATGCATACGGTAGCGACCCGGAACCAATGCTCACTCAAAAGCCAGCCAGCCAGGCACACAAACAGAAACTCAGGCCGTAACAGCGAATAAATCTACGTAAGGGATTGTTGATGCGAGGATGCTGAAGTACTACGTAATGGTACATACATATCTACCGACCTCGGGTGGCTTCGGCGAAGCTAGGATGCAGCGTGAACACCACCTTGGATACGAAGTACGAGATGTCCTCGCCATTCGGCCCTCGCACGAACACTACGGGGGGGGGGATCGAAGAACGAGCGTAAGAAGGTACTTCAGTGACAGCATCCAAGAGGGACAAAGGTGGTGAGAGGATTCAATCTGGAGCTAATGGGGTTGAGGACCGTAGCATGGACTGTGCCGTAGAACGCAGCAGAAACGGTGGGTGAAACCAACAACAGCTCTAAGCATTACAGAGGGAGCAGTACCTGAGGAGACCGGAGGAGACAAGGTATCGGTAGGATAGTTCGTGCTATCCTGCCTGAACTAAATCCAGAGTGACTCCTTTGTCGGCACACCACCTGCTATGACCAGTAAAGTCCGTGTAGAGGGCTAGTCCCTGAGCTTTTGAACAACGTTGTGGGCCGTGTGCATGCATCTCGTCGTGCCCAACGCATAAATTTCAATCTAGAAAATGTGCGTATTGGTTTTACGAGAGTAATGGGTGCCACAATGCCAGCCAACTCAAGAACATGGTACAGGAAATGCCACGGCCACACCAGTACACGTATAACCAGATGACATGTACTGTATTCACGTGCTTGCTTAATCAAAAAGATACCGAGACGGAGCACATCGACTACTTGGGGCACTTACGGGTCCATTTGTGTGTCACAAACTCGCTCTGCTTCTTCCGCTCCAGCAGAAAAGCTAAAGACCCGTACGCGATGGGGCAGGCAACCTAGCCATAGCGGACGCAAAAAATTGAAATGGGGGTGGGGGGGGGGTGGCTACGAGAGAATGGGCGCATGTTCTGCATAACCAAACACAAGGACGGTTGTCGTCTGTACGGACAAAACAATTGCATGTAGATCGGAGGAAGTTCGCCACATGGCTCACTCGTTGTCTACGACAAAGAGGTTGGGCGCTTGAGCCGCAGGACAACGTATCGTCGGAGTGGGTCCCTTTAGCGTGATCGACAACACGCAGCAAATGAGCATGCCGGGGATATCGATATCGATGGCATCAAAACGACCGAGACGGCAGTAGTAACATTCTCCGGAGATCTCGACTTACAGCAAGAGTGGTGGGTGAAAACTACTGGGAAAGCGTTGAAAAAGACCGCTGGATTTGTCCTTCGCCAGTAGCGCTTTGACATTTTTTCTCGAACGGTCGGTGCGATACCTGTCCTTCTCTTGCTATCATTTTGTTTTCTTTTTCCGAGTGGTTTGTACCCTATTTTTGTTTTTCTGTTTTCTCGCGGCGTCGTATGTGCCGGGTTTTGAGACCACGGGCTCCCCATTTTTTGTGGACTATAGAGCTAATGTGAGAAACAACAACAACAACAACAACAACAACAACAACAACTTTGAGAAGCGCATGCATGTGAAAACAGAAACTTCGAGAAGAGCATGCATGTGTAAACAGAGACTTTGAGAAGCGCATGCATGTGAAAACAGAAACTTTAAGAAGAGCATTCATGTGAAAACAGAGACTTTAAGGAGCGTATGCATGTTTACGTAAACAACGCCCTCGCAGCAGATACGCGAGGCAAGCACCTGCGTACGGCAAGAGTACAGCACTATGAATACCAAATTTACTCACAGCCGATGCTACTGTGTTGATCGTCCAGTAAGAGGGCTGGGGTTGGTGCGAAGGACGCGACGGTCTTCTTTCAATTTTGGTGTTATGTCTCTTGCCCGCCACCGTGCCGACTCATCTGCCCCCGAAAGGATATTATTTTACTTACACACTAACACTTGACACTTAACAGCAGTTCTGACAGTCTCGTTCTTGCAGCTCGAGTCTCGCGTACCGTACAAGTCACTCGTAGAATGCATACTACAACGACATGCATCGACCATCGATCATCATACCCATCAGTCCTTGTGCTTGTGCGGGAGGAATTGCCAGCGCATCCCCCGTGTGCGGTCTCGACGGCCCTCATATGCATGTGTGTAAGTGTGGATGGCCGACCCGATTATCGTAGAGGAGCAGGAGTTCCTACAAATTTGATTGGTTTTGGGCATTGCTCCCTGTAGGCGCGAAGTGTACACCACGTCATCCGACGACGGCCCCGCTGGCGAAACTCTACGGCTTACGCCGCCGGTGCAAAGCTTCTGCCGCGGGCGCCCTCCCAACAGGCGTCGTCTTACGCTTGGCGCGCCTCGGACAAACACGCCCAACGGAGCAGCTACATAGCTTCTCCTCGCCGAGAAACTCCGGCTTAGGGGGAACGATATTGCCGCTCAACAAGAGCAGGAATCAGATGGCGGGGCCGCACGCGCCGGCGTTCGACTGTCGCCAAAAAAAAAACGCGCAGTCCTGTGCTGAACTTCAGCTCGCCCCGGAGTCGGCCGCAAGCAATCTAAACCAATATGCATACTCCCGTCTGCCAAGCTGGCTACGAGGCATGTGCTGCTATCATCACCATCTTGATCGTCATGGCACCGGCAAAACACCACACGCGTCGGCAATGACTTCTATGCAAAGACGTCGGGGGTGGCAGGAGAGTTCCGAAGAAGGCACTGTGGGGTGCGCGCCTCTACTTCCACTTGTCAAGCGTAAGGGGTATCATATACAGCAGTCGGACATGAAGCGGGGGGGTACGCAGATAGCTACACCTTTCCTCAGATGACTCTATTTTCAAGTGAAAAGGGAAGGTTCCTCTGAGTACCGCGGTTACCGCAGTACCCACACGGTCCTTCTCTCAATAGTGCGGGTCCCGATATACCGCGATTATTGACGACGTTTGTCAATACTACAACTAACCCTAACCGCGGTACTGTAATCGGGGCCACCATTGTACAGAGTAATCATTTCAAACGTTCTCGTCGTTCTATCGTTTCTGCGCACCCCCGCCCCATGTTAATTTTATGCAACGTGCCAACTCACGCGCTCTGCAGCACCTGACGGAGAAGGCGGCACGACTACGCTGTTATTCTCTACAGACATTAGGTATTCAGGCGTATGCTATAACAGGGTAGTGGTTAATATGTTACCACGTTACCACGAGAGGTAAGACAAACAGGTGGAGACTACGAGCTGCTGTGTACACAGACGAGACAAATACCAACAACAGTACTTACCGAAAGGCCTTTTTTCCTTATCTTGGGGACATCGGCCGGTGGCTTTGAGGCTGATGCCATGGCGCCTGCTCCCCCTACTGAAGGTCCTGATCCAGGTGCTAATCCGTGGCGAGTCCACCCCGCTCCCGCTGCTCCCGCCGTCGTACCGTTTGTTGCTTGCGCCGCAACTACTTGGGTTTGGGGGATCAAATTCGATGGATCTGATCGGTTGGCAGCAGGTTCCATTCCACTGTGGCAAAAAGGTAGTGGAGCACAAGGGGTAACTACGGCGGCTGGTGTCAATGGATGATCAGGTACTCCGTACCAAGGGCGACATGGCCATGTTGCAACAGCAGTGGTGAAGTGCTCTGTGTCGGCCCTAAAAAACGGGGGCTCCGCTGAATGATATTCTGGGAGTTCACTCACTTGCTTGATCAAGAGGCTTTCTTCGAAACGCCAAATCCAGGACACATTCGGTGGGATCCCACTCGCTGTCGGCTTTAGGCGGATCCATCCGGCAACGCGCCGGATAAAGCAAAAGCAGGGATATATAGAAATAAGTACATGCGTAGGGGTGTGCGTGAGACCGGCACGGTCCTTTTCGACGCATCAGTAAACAAAACCCTATCTTCTACAGATCGTCATGTCGTCGTTGTTCGTGAGAACCGCAGAGCTCAAGAGGAATCTTGCGATTGATGGAGACCGGAGGGAGCAGAGCGACGAGGAGATCGCGTTGAGTGACGATGGCTCAGAGGGTGATATGGGCATAGAATGCCAATATTCCTTTGCAGGGTCCTCGGAATCGGACTCGCAACGTGCGAGCCAGATTGAGTTCGGCGGGGAAGATTCAGCCGGGTTTTTTGAAAGGGTTTTCGGCGGGTGAGCTCCAGTAAAAGTTACATGACTTTACACCCAGTGCTGCCGTTGTGTATCCAAAGACAACGTGCAAAGTTCTAGAGAACCACGATGTTTCCATTCAAACTCTGAATCGCTGCTGCCGTTGTGTATCCAAAGACAACGTGCAAAGTTCTAGAGAACCACGATGTTTCCATTCAAACTCTGAATCGCTGCTGCCGTTGTGTATCCAAAGACAACGTGCAAAGTTCTAGAGAACCACGATGTTTCCATTCGAACTTTGAATCGCCGCCGTTGGCCATCTATGTACGTACGTACGTCAAAGTACTGAACGACACATACTCTAAGACTGGCCTACCGTAAATGACACAAGATAACTCACCCCCTGGACCGATTTTCAAATCTCTGTTTCTCAACAACAGAAAAAGTCACGGCGCCGAAAATGGCGGCGTTGGAACCGTCTCATTGAGAGCTTTCCAAAAATGTACCGTTTCGTTTATGCATTCTCTTCGTCGTGGAGTAATCGAGCTTTGAAAATTGGTCCAGGGGGTGTGTTATCTTGTGTCAAATACGGTATGCATGGCGATATGCAATCGATAGACTACCACCGAGCCGTACGTACATGTTTTCTGCCGACTACAGTACACTGTACAATGAATCGTCACGTGGAAACAGCGTCGATGACACGCAAATACCACTCACGCGTACATGTATTCCTTAAACGTCGACACATGATAAAGAGTACTGCTGTAGACAGATGTGGTCAAGATACAACCCTCACGGGGGTCTGTCTTAGTGAACAGGGAGATGCTGACACAATATCTGTATTTGCGCACATTTGTTTATATCTCAGAGGCCCCGGCAGTGTCGGAAACGGAGCTGAAGGTGGCGACGGGGAAGTTTCGCAGTATTGGCAGGTAGCATTGTGCCTATCCTTGCGAACAATAGCGTGCCCCGTACAACTCCGCTGGCGACAGTTGCAGGTGGTACACTTTGGCAAAGTGTTCGAAAAGTACACCCATCCGAACTTTCGAGGCATGTACACGCGGTTTCAGTGCGAACCACTCTTACCAACACCATACATGACATCTCTGTATACAGGACACCTTTTTGGTTGTGTCCTTCAGCGGGATTTCGAAAGGTCTTGCGGGTCGTTCATATTGTGCTTCCCCATTTTCGATTCGTATGTTGGCAGGCGTCTGCCTCCATTGTGCTCTGCATCGTGCAGATCAATAATATTATAATATTCACGGTGGCATACGGTGCGTTGCGCATGTCGCAATTTCGTACGTGACTGCTATAGAGTTGAGAGTCCGTGCGCCGCGAGCTATGGAGCTACATTCTCTACTTTCTGCCATCACATTGAAACCGCGGCATTGGCAAACAACGCCGTCTGTCTCCTTTCTCTTGTTTTATGGTCTGGGGCTGCCACCAACCTCACGATGTGGCAATAGAACTATGACCTCAGTATTTCGGAGGCGCCAAAGCTCTTCAGCGACGCTGAGTTCCAGGCGGTCAAGCGAATACAAGGGGGCCTTAAAGTGCTGGTTCTGCGCAAGAGACTACAGGTGGGCAGTTGTATTGGATATTGGTCTAAGGCCCGGAGAATTCGGGTACGTACGTAAGAGGTACCTACCTATGGAGAAGTGTATGCCAAAGGCTAGTCGCCCATGTTGATGCTGCTATCTATGGTGACCTTTCTTCACCGAAAACTTGGTAGCAATACTCAGGGTTGCAGCGTGTGCTTGTCTTCCGCCAATGCGTTGGGCTGAACGTCGAGCGCCGAACCACCTCTCAGACTGATGGTTAGCCGATACTTCTTCAATGACGCCGTATTGTTCGCAAGCGACCACCCCACTTCCTGTGTCCCACGCATCCGAAGGAACGAATCACTGCGAAAAACCGCGAGCGTGAGGTTAGGGCTGCCGTTCGCGTGCAAGCGATTTTCCGGGGGATAGCTACGAGAGCTTCTCTTCCAGCCCTGCGTGAGCAACATAGTGTTAGCGCACGCTTGAAGAGGACGTACAAGCTCTTCAAGAGAGAACTTCGTAGCGAGGGGTGAGCGGAGGTGAATGTTTGAAAGACAGAGTACATGTGCGAAGAGTATCCGAAAAGCTGATAGGAGCTTGGGTGTCTTTAGTATAGACTAACTGTGTAGCAGTTGCCAAGCAATCTCAGCAATGGGCTGTCGACAGCACATGACTTTGACAATAGCTCACCATTGCGTAACAGGTTCCCCGTACACCTGTACCGCACAAAGGATGGAGCATTGCGTAGGGTGATCCTTAAGCCGGACAATAAGCTGACCAGTCTCTGCTGGAGCATGGGAGTTGCGAAGGTCAAATCCGGCAGTATACCTCTCATTGCTCTCAAGGTACGCCGAGTCAAATGATATATACGGACAGCGATTCTTCGCGGTAACTTAGCGATAGTCGGAAGAAAAACGGATCCTATCAGCACGCAAATCACACAACACGATACATCGTTCCTACCAGCCGCACATATGGTATTCTTTCTCATCACAGAAGAACGGATAGTTATAAGTCGTCTAAATCAAACAACCTTGGATGGCTTTCAATACGATCAATCCACCAGGCGACACATTCGTTTTGTCGCTAACGGTTGCGAACCTTACTGCAGGTGTGCTATTCGGGTTACCCGAAGTCAAACTTTCCAACCAAGTCGATGCAAGCGCGTGCCACACCCCTTCCGGACAGGAGCAAGACGTTCACCATCCAGGTTGACACCGGCAAAGTCTATGTGTTCGTGACGACCGACGACATTCACAAAAAGCTGGTGAGCCTAGCCCCTAATGTATCGCGCCGGTCTCCCCGTTCCACTCCAGCCATCACGTTGCAACTGTTCCGCGCTTCATCTGCTTCTTGGCATAGGTCTTTATGTGTCGAAGGTTCGTGGCTCGCAATGTGATGCCCTTGCACACACGGGACAATGTGCATTGAAATTGTCGGGGCCAATATATGGCTTGACCAGCTCATTGGGTTGTCAAATAATTTTTTGGTACAGCAGTGTCGGAGCCACAGCCCAACGGAATGTACCCTCCTCCAGCATATCTCCATGAAGCAATCCGTGTGCGTGCTCTGCAAAACAATCTTCGTCGCGGTGTTTGTGCCATCCTATTTACGTCTCCTAACTCCTATTTTTCATGCGACAGGTGAAAGGTCTCCAGTCTGTCATTGATGAGATTAGCAGCCCCGACTCCTTCTACTTTGACGCCACGGGTGTCCTGCGGCGAGTGACGAGCTCAATCTTCGACGACCGAGGCAACGTTGCCCAACGAGAAGCCATGAAAAAGGAGAGGCAAGCGCGGTTTAAGTTCCGGCAGGCCGAAGCCGAAGAGCGACTGGAACCTCTCCGACCGAAGGTATGTTGGCTTTGCTTTGAAAATAACTGAGGAACCGTGGACGAACTTGGCATGCAATATGTGCCACCACTCAAGCACTTCCCACATATGGCGTGAGGCTCGAGACGTATCGACCGGCCCACACCGATCTGATGAAGTGTTGTTTAGGCTCAGTTCTTCTCGTCAGCTCACTAGATTATATACCCGCTCCGAAAACTTCGATCAAAAATATTTGTGCGACCTCGTCTTGTGCGACCTCGAAATGTTTCGATACACAAAACAAAACTTGCACCAGCACCTTCCGATCTGTTGGGATGGGTCTGTTCTCCCAACTTTGGGCGGCCTAGCTGAGTGAGCTCTAAAAGTGTAAGCAGACAGACTACGACGGCCGGAAAGTAGCGCTTTTTTCTTGAGGAAAGACAGACCAGGCATGCAGAGAGTTTACGACGTCGTGAAGAAGTTCCGATGTGGCCAGCCAGAAGAAATAGTAATATTTTACATATGTAGATGGATGGGTTGGGTGTGAACTAACTTTTATTGGATCGTTGAGGGATAAGCCATTGGGAAGGCACGAATACATTTGACGAACGCGAGACAATTTGGTTTGGTACATGGGATCGTAGCCAGAGGCCCATTGCCTATGTAGGAGATAGGTAGCGGCCACAGTTATTAACTATCATTAGTCTAACGGGGAAATTGATAGACGCAAGAACCAAAACGTCAAGGACCCCCGCATACTGGCCATGTGGCTGATTGTAGATCGAATGGTCTTGCTCTGTCTCGACTAGGGGTGAGTGGTCAATGGTCACAACAAGACCGAATAATCCAGAGAAGGTTCCTACCCATACCCCCTCCAGCAGCACTTGCACCTTGTTTTGGTTTTCTTCACAAAAAGCCCTTCGTATGAAACCAATCGGATTTATCGATCAAGGGAGCAAAATATCTGGCGAGCACAAACGTAAGCTTCCGTCTCCGCGTTTTAATTTGTAGCGTGGAACAACGGAGTTCTCTGTACTTGCCTTCCACTCGCAGGTTACCGGTATTTATACGTCCTGACAAAGAGCACCCGCGCGAGGCAAAAAACTTAACATGAGGGAAAGGTTACCTCAGTCTTAGTCTAAACTACATATTCTTGGCGAGGAGAGGGATACTGGCTTGCTTGGTTGATGTGTTTATTTCCACAAGGCTCACGTGCCAGCTGTGCCAAGCATCCAACAAGAAAGCTCCTTTCAACGTGTATGCACAACAAACAACGCCTCAACTACACTAGTCTCAAGCGAGTAACCAGGCTGGAGGCAGAGAAGGAGCCGACACAAAAACGATTAATCATTGTACATGTTCCTGTCCTGACGCTGCCTGCATCGCAGGCGCCGGTGATGGCAAGCAAAGCAGCGGGACCAAGGCGGAGTCCCGCATAAAATCCTGCTGCGTTGCGAAGGCTCAGCACCCGAGCTAGGAATGGAAAACGAACGCTCCTCTTGGGACGAGGGAGTGATTCAGATGGTGATTCAGATAGTGATTCAGATAGCCGCGCCGAGGCAAAGACTCCGCAAGTGGCGAAGAAAGTTGTTAAAAGGAGGATAACGATGGAGAGCTGGTTCTACGGTTTACCAATATCTTGCAGTTCCGTCGATGTATTTACGTCCTTGCTTCCGTGTTCAACGAAGACAATGGCAGTCGGTGAAAGTGCGTCTTTGATGGAGATGCACTCCCTCGTGCTGATTCTTCACGAAACTCTTCCAGGTACAAGGCACTGCTGAAACATGTGTTCGCCATTCAAATTCCTTTTCACCGCGGACCGCCGCCAACAGGAAAAAAGTGTTTTGTTTTCGTCACAGAGCAAGAAGATTCTTTTTTATTATGGTTTGAAGGGATGACAAAAAAAAAATCAAAGAAACAGACTCAATTCAGGTCGACACCTCAGAGACCCTTGCAAGACATCAAGCTCCCATGCATTCACCTCCGAAGGGAAGCAAGCACGCATATGGTTTCGATTCCCACAACCCATCCGTCCGCCATCCGCACATGTAGCTTACCTTCACCCCCCGGCACCCCCCGCTGTCCAGCTTGGGCCGGCGACATCCCGGCATATCGCTCCGTTCCTGCATTTTAGGGATGCGAGGTCTATGGTGGTCTAATGACAAGGGCATTCGTTTACATGAGCACAACCAGCCCTGTTTGTTTCCCTTTTGACGGGCGCAAGAGGCTCTGTATTCGTTGCCATATTCACGACCTCGTTTCCCAGTCTAAAAAGGCCTGTTGGGGAGGCCCTTCCGCGCCTTCTGTATGAGTGCCACATTGGGCGTTGTGTCGTCCCAGCCGGTGTAGATCCCCGCCCTTACCATCCTCCTCATCGACATGTTCGCCTTCCTCTTCTGCTTGTCCTTTGCTTCTATCCCGGCCTGCATTTTGATTCGAAGGTTGGTGATTCTAGCCTCGTCTTCGACCACTTGCCCACCCGCCCTCCGCCACAGGTACAGCCTCCGTTGTCGTTGGATATGAATTTCCTTCTTGCTCATTTTCTTGAGTTGTTGGGGGTTTTTCTTGGATTGTTGGCGATGCTGCTGGGACTGGCCATAGATTGCAGCAGCCTGCGCTTGTCGTACGGCTCTATCTGCTGTGGAAAGGTTTTTCTTTTTCTTCTTCTGGCGGTCCCGAGCGCCCTCTTCTCCCGGGTGAGGCCTCTTGTGTCCCTTCGCCTGTACGGTCTCTTGCTTGACAGACTTGAGCCCGTCCGTGGTACGCCCCCCACCCCCTCGGACACCTTTCGCTTGCTTGATCTTCGCCGGCATCGCTTCTTCCTTGACCAGCCCGTGTTTTCCTCCACCCGGCCCACCCACCATCCCATATTTCTCTTGCTTAATGGATCCGTGTTTTCCTCCACCCTGTCCACCCGCGCTCCCATCTTTCTCTTGCTTGATCTTCGCTGGCAAACCTTCTTGCTTGAGAGATCCGTGTTTTCCTCCACCCTGTCCACCCGCGCTCCCATCTTTCTCTTGCTTGATCTTGGCCGACAAAGCTTCTTGCTTGATGAACCAGTGTTTTCCTCCGCCCTGCTCATCCGGCCTCACACCTTTCTCTTGTTTAACCTTCGCCGGCAAATCTTCTTGCTTGATGAATCCGTTGACTGCCCTGGAGCCCCCACAGCCGTTTCGACGCTCATCCTTGGTGCTCGCGGGCATGCCCTCTTGCTTGACAAACGTATGTTTTCCTCCACATTGCCCGCCCCCAATCACATCTTTCTCTTGCTTGATCTTCGCCGGCAGCGCTTCTTGCTTGACGAACCCGTGTTTTCCTCCGCCCTGTGCGCCCCCTCTCCCATCTTCCTCTTGATTCATCCTCGCTGGCATGGTGTCTTCCTTGAAAAATATACCCGCTCTAGAACGGTCCCCGTGCTCTATCCTCGCCGGCAAGGCTTCGTCCTTCAGAAACCCGCGGCTTCCTCTAGGCACCACGTCCTTGACCATTGAGTGCTGCACCGTGTTCGTGTGTTCGTGCTTGATCTCAAGTCTGTTTTCCGCCCTCCTCTACATGGAAACCGCGTCTTCTTCGCTGTCTTTTCTGATACGGCGCGGGGCAGACCGAATGGGAAAAAAAACAGGCGAACGGGGTTAGTCTCAAGGGCATCACATTGCCCAGCTTTGAAGGAATAGTCTAGTCTATCGTGCGTAGGTTGCGTCACATACTTCAACCCTGGGATCAACTTTCACAGTCCGAAATAATTACAGCAGAGACAGTAGCTGCCGTGCTGAAAATGGTGGCGTTGGAACCGTCTTGTCGAGAGCTTTCGGCATCCACTTCAGCGTGGAGGAATTGAGTTTGGAATCGGTTCAAGGGGCGTGGATTGCGTGCGGGTAAAAGTGTCAAATGACCAGACAAGAAGCTGGGTTGGGTTGGGTTGGATGGGGTAGGATCGGGTTGGGCGAAGGGTAGGGTTGTGTTGGATCCGTCGATCGGGCAGCTTTGTGCCGCCTTCTTCGATCTCGCCGCCGTCGCTTCGTCGATCGTCGCCGTCGATGGTCCTTCCTGAGAATCAACCTCTCCCTTGAAGATGCATCGACATAATGGGACTTGTATCTAGCAGCATATCACGAAATATACCTCCGCACGCCTTTCACAAACAACAAGATCTACCAGTCAAAATTCAAGACATATTAGATACACGGCGGGTGAGTTCTCTGTGTTGCACAGTCAAGTAACACCCAAGTCTGTTGCAAATGAAGATTGTTGCGGAGTACTGATGAACCCCGAGGACTGGGCGTGTGACTGGTTGGAGTTCGGACAGCGTTGCAATGTCTCGAAAAGGGGTGCATGGTCAATGACCACAAGACAACATAATCTAGCCAATAACGACTACCCTGGTCCCCCCCTGCAGCGCTTGAACACCCGTCGTGTGGTTTTCTTTACAACACTATTTCTTCGTTTGAAGCAATCGGTGTTTTCGATCAAGGGAGCAAGACCTTCCAAGAGCATACATGAAAATCTCCTCTCTCCGCGTTTTCAGCTTTGTAACGTGGAATATCGAGCGGGAATTCTGTGCAGCTGTCGTCATCTATTGCACAAGCACGTTATATGGGTTTTCTTGCTTCCGAAGAGCACCTGCGGGAGGCCGATGTTTGAACTTGAGAGAAGCTTAGCTCAAGTCTCTTAACCACCAAGTTCTTACGAGACGTGGATACTGCAAGTCGTGTATCTGTGGTCGCTCCCAGATGTGATATAAGAGGGGTCGGCGGTTGCTTCGTCCTCCTCTACTGTGTACAACGATACGGTGCGCTCTGGAGTAACGACAACATCCGACAGCGGTGTTTCACAGAAGGGTGTTACGTTGCTGCTGTGGATGCTACCCGCCCGTACTCCCAACGCTGTACGCACAGAAAGAGGCAATGCTACCCCTCCTGCCTCTACCACCATTTCCGGCGAGGTCCAGTTCTCTGAAAACCTTGCAAAAAAAAATCCTTCCCTGACTACTTGTCCCTCCGCCGTCTCCACTCGGAGAGGGACCCACTACCTCTGGTCTGTTAAGTATTGCACGTCTTTCGTGGAATCAAAAATCAAACGATGCTCGCTGCCATCATGGTCTGGTGACTCGATGTATGCTACCATCTCCGGCTCAGCATCCTGGTCAACCGTAGGTGTTTGGGTAGGAGGTAGGGAGGTTCAAACCCACTCCATCTACGTGTTTTGGCAGTGCGGATGCCTGATTTCGAGGCTGCCCCGCATTCAATCATGCGCTTGACTACCTTCTCGGCCACAAATGATTGGGGTGACCCGGTGTCAACTAACGCCACTGCTGGCTGCGCTACTCGGGCATGTGCCCCTGCAAACACACTCACCTTCGCGGTCTGACGGCTAGCACTCAAACATACCTCCCCTCCCTTGAAGTCAATGACTTCCTTCACAAAACTACTCGGTAGCTCACTCCCCAAAGTATCGTGTGCAACTCTGCCCGTCCGCTGTGTGTTTCACACGCTCAGGCTCGGAGCAACTTCATCCTTCACACGCATGACATCTACCCCCTTCCGTCCGCGTACACTTGCCCTTTGGCTCTTGTTTTTAGTCTTTCTCCTTTCCGTGTGCCCCCCCTCTACTAAATTAACCTGGGTCAGAGGGGCCCTTGATGGAAGCGACGGAAGCTGTTCCGCTCCTACACCGCTCTCTGGGATAGCTGTCGAAGTCTCTACTACTTCCTTTCTACCCTTTGTACACTGCTGTGCCGCTGCTGCCGGTACTCCTGCGACCGCCGCGACTGACTGCTGTGTAGCTGCTGCTGTGTCAACAGCTGCTGTTGGGGTGCCGGTTACCTCTGACAAATTTCGATGGGCAGAGACTATACCATGCGTCGGGGAAGGGCCAATCTGATCGACTGCCCCCCCCTCCCCGCTGTTCGGAAGCGGCCTAGCTGTATCTGTGGGCTCGGCCTCAATTCCTACCTGGACCACGGTGTTCTGGGTACTCCACTCGCGCTTGCGGGGAAGCGGGCGTGTCCTTTGCCCTTTACTATTCTACTCTGTGTACACTGCTGTGCCCCTGCTGCCGGTACTCCTGCGACCGCCGCGACTGACTGCTGTGTAGCTGCTGCTGTATCAACAGCTNACCTGGACCACGGTGTTCTGGGTACTCCACTCGCGCTTGCGGGGAAGCGGGCGTGTCCTTTGCCCTTTACTATTCTACTCTGTGTACACTGCTGTGCCCCTGCTGCCGGTACTCCTGCGACCGCCGCGACTGACTGCTGTGTAGCTGCTGCTGTATCAACAGCTGCTGTTGGGGTGCCGGTTACCTCTGACAAATTTCGAATGGGCAGAGACTATTCCATGCGTTAGGGAAGGGTCGATCTGATCGACTGCCCCCCCGTCCCCGCTGTTCGGAAGCGGCCTAGCTGTATCATCTGTGGGCTCGGCCTCAATTCCTACCTGGACTACGGTGTTCTGGGTGCTCCACTTGCGCTTGCGGGGAAGCGGGCGTGTCCTTTGCCCTTTATTACTATTTCTCTCTGTGATGAGTTGGGTTTTGGTGTCGGGTCATGACTCCCGATCGCTACCCCGCTCTTTTTCTGGTTATCGCTCTGGACGGATACTCGCTGCACCTCCAGGATTTCGCTCCGGATGGGTACTCGCTGCACCTCCAGGATTTGCTCTACATGTAGATTCTCCCTGCTGCTTCTACTCTCTCTGCTGCTGCTGTTCCTATTTTGTACAGGTTTATCGGTTGGGGTTGCGGATGTCGACGGCCCCCTGTCACGGGGGCTGCCTCCCTTGCCCATTACCGGCACCGATGCTGCCGCCGCCGGGAGGGTGTAGCCCCCGGCGACGAGGTACTAATGGCTCGAAGAACTAGTGTTTTTTCGGCCTCGGGGATGCGGTACACCTGCTCCTCCTCTGTGAGAACAGGCGCAGTAGAAGCATTCGATGAAGCTGCAAAGAGATCCGGCGCGAAGGTGACGGCGCCGGGAGAAGCCGACGAGCCAGGCATTGCCCCAGCAGAGGCAGAGGGAGGAGCGAGAGAGAGGGGGGCAGGAGGAGGGACTACAAGAACAGGCTGCACGCTACCAGCTACGCGCGGGCTACGTCGTACAGAAATACCCTTATCTAGACGCGTCTTTCTCTTCAGGGACCCCGATATCACGCTTACGGTCCGACATGATCATCAACTCAAACAAACTCGGCAGCTTCGCCAACTGTGACATAAGCTTTTTTTAGCTGGGTTTGTGTTCTGATGATGGAGCACTGCGAACCAATCACAAGTGAGGTGTGGTTCTACTAGCAAGGGTAGTTCTGCTAGTACTTCGGGTCCAAAGGATGTTTGGTCAATACTGTCAATGCTCGTGGTGTGGTCACGGGTCCCTGATGTGCACAAGAGGTAGATAGAGTCGAATGTTGTCTTTTTTAGTCAGCCTGAAGGTGAACTCCTGATCATCAGCAAGAACACCTACTGTAACTCAACCGCTTATCAATCTAATCTCACGAGGCTGTCCAATGCTATGCTAAGGCGTCACACTCAACACAAGGCTATGGGGACGGCACTCACGCTCACCTAAACCCTAGTCTAAGCTATGCCAAGCGGCTTCTGATCAAAGTGGGTGGGTGTAGGAGAACTGAAAGCCAGAATATTCCAAATGCATTGGGAACTCCGGGGAAACGGGGACAACTTCAACCATACGGCTACAATCTACGGAGCTTCCTACAACACTCTAATTCGATCCTTGTAGCCTCTTCACTCGCCGCAGATTGCCACAGAAGGAGACTCTGTATTTCGATAATGCGCAGCGAGACAGCCAAAGAGTTTTTGCTGTCCAAGAGGTACTACTTGCTGTCCCATATAAAGAAAACAACAAATCCGCAAGCCGTGGTTTGGGTTGAAAATGTTTACTTCCACATGGCTCGCGTGCCAGCAGCGTCAAGCACCCAACACAAAAGCTTCCTTCAGCGTATTGTTGTTGTTGTTGTTATTGTTGCTATCTTCACATTAAAAACCGTTCCGGTCTCCATTCAGTGCCTTCTTATGTCCGTACTGGTCCAACTGACGCGGACGCCTTCCGTGGTCACAAGCCAACTGCCTCCCTTAGACGGGGGAGTACACACCTTTCCGTATATACACAACACACAACCCTCGATGATACCCTTCTCCGGCTCGTCTGTTCGAGTAACCAGCCTTGTGACAGGAACCCAGCAAAAACGAACGGAGAACAAATCGACGAATGATGGTAGCTCTCCTGACGATGATTGTTTCGCGGGCGCGCCGTGGTGGCGACCAAAGGAGCGGGACCAAGCCGAGGTCCGGGTTAAACTCCTGCTTCACGAAGGCACAGCACCAGAGCTATAATAGCAATGGAAAACGTCCCTCTAAGAACGACGAGGGCTATTACGATGGCCACGCCGGGGTAAGTTACCGGCAGTGGCCGACGCTACGAAAAGAGGAGATGGAGTTCAACGATTTTCGAATGGACATGTATGTTATTTTCGTGTACTTCTCAAGTACTTGCTCCCGTGCTCAACAAAAATACTGGCAGTCGGCGGGGGTAAAACCAAATTTTGCATGGCAATGGAGGTACACTCTCTCGTAACCCAATTCGATTGATCACAGACCCTTACGAAATAGTCCGCCGCTATACATCACTTCTCATGGAACGCCGCCAACGGCATCCTTTTCCTCAGTGTGCGAGCACATACATGCGAAGGAGTGACATTCATGCTTTGAATTCCCGAAAGTGTACGTGTCAAGACTCCATTCAACTAAAATCAACTCCTCAGAGAACCCCGCCGAGGTAAATGCGTCTCTCAACGGAAGCAAGCATGCATGTGGTTTCGACTCCCACAATCAAATTGCACTGGCCCGCCATTTCGTCCGCACGTACACCCTCCCTCTTGCGCCCCAACCCCTTTCACCCCCCGCCCTATTCGTTCCGTCTTAGACGGGAGCACGAGGTTCCGTGTTCTTCGCCCACAACAGCGCTCGATTTAGTTGCGCCTTCGATTTCAGAGCGCCTGGAGTGCCCTCGGGGAGGCCCTCCCGCGCCTTAAGTAGCTTTTTCACGTTGGGGGTTGTGTCGTCCCAGCCGGTGTAGATCCCCGCCCGTATCATCCTCCTCATTGACGTTTCGGCCTTGCTCCTCTCCTTGGCTGAGACCTTCATCCCGGCCTGCTCCTTGCGTCGAACGTTGGCGATTCTAGCCTCGTCTTCGACCACTTGGCCACCCGCCCTCCGCCACAGGTACAGCCTCCGTTGTCGTTGGGCATGAGTTTCCTTGTCGAGCTTCCAGAATGGTACGTTGTGTTGTTGGGGCTGGCCATTGCCGGCAGAAGCCTGCGCTCGTTGTGCGGCTTTTGTTTTTGCGGAGAGGTTGTTATTTTTCTTCTTCTTGTGGCCCCAGGCGCCCTCTTCTCTCGGATGAGGCCTCTTGTGTCCCTTCGCCTGTACGGTCTCTTGCTTGACAGACTTGAGCCCGTCCGTGGTTCGCCCCCCACCCCCTCGGACACCTTTCGCTTGCTTGATCTTCGCCGGCATCGCTTCTTCCTTAACCAGCCCGTGTTTTCCTCCACCTGGCCCACCCACCATCCCATATTTCTCTTGCTTAATGGATCCGTGTTTTCCTCCACCCTGTCCACCCACGCTCCCATCTTTCTCTTGCTTGATCTTCGCTGGCAAACCTTCTTGCCTGATAGATCCGTGTTTTCCTCCACCCTGTCCACCCGCGCTCCCGTCTTGCTCTTCTTTGATCTTCGCTGGCAAACCTTCTTGCTTGATAGATCCGTGTTTTCCTCCACCCTGTCCACCCGCGCTCCCATCTTTCTCTTGCTTGATCTTCGCTGGCAAAGTTTCTTGCTTCATGGATCCGTGTTTTCCTCCGCCCTGTCCACCCGCGCTCCCATCTTTCTCTTGCTTGATCTTGGCCGACAAAGCTTCTTGCTTGATGAACCAGTGTTTTCCTCCGCCCTGCTCATCCGGCCTCACACCTTTCTCTTGTTTAACCTTCGCCGGCAAATCTTCTTGCTTGATGAATCCGTTGACTGCCCTGGAGCCCCCACAGCCGTTTCGACGCTCATCCTTGGTGCTCGCGGGCATGCCCTCTTGCTTGACAAACGTATGTTTTCCTCCACATTGCCCGCCCCCAATCACATCTTTCTCTTGCTTGATCTTCGCCGGCAGCGCTTCTTGCTTGACGAACCCGTGTTTTCCTCCGCCCTGTGCGCCCCCTCTCCCATCTTCCTCTTGATTCATCCTCGCTGGCATGGTGTCTTCCTTGAAAAATATACCCGCTCTAGAACGGTCCCCGTGCTCTATCCTCGCCGGCAAGGCTTCGTCCTTCAGAAACCCGCGGCTTCCTCTAGGCACCACGTCCTTGACCATTGAGTGCTGCACCGTGTTCGTGTGTTCGTGCTTGATCTCAAGTCTGTTTTCCGCCCTCCTCTACATGGAAACCGCGTCTTCTTCGCTGTCTTTTCTGATACGGCGCGGGGCAGACCGAATGGGAAAAAAAACAGGCGAACGGGGTTAGTCTCAAGGGCATCACATTGCCCAGCTTTGAAGGAATAGTCTAGTCTATCGTGCGTAGGTTGCGTCACATACTTCAACCCTGGGATCAACTTTCACAGTCCGAAATAATTACAGCAGAGACAGTAGCTGCCGTGCTGAAAATGGTGGCGTTGGAACCGTCTTGTCGAGAGCTTTCGGCATCCACTTCAGCGTGGAGGAATTGAGTTTGGAATCGGTTCAAGGGGCGTGGATTGCGTGCGGGTAAAAGTGTCAAATGACCAGACAAGAAGCTGGGTTGGGTTGGGTTGGATGGGGTAGGATCGGGTTGGGCGAAGGGTAGGGTTGTGTTGGATCCGTCGATCGGGCAGCTTTGTGCCGCCTTCTTCGATCTCGCCGCCGTCGCTTCGTCGATCGTCGCCGTCGATGGTCCTTCCTGAGAATCAACCTCTCCCTTGAAGATGCATCGACATAATGGGACTTGTATCTAGCAGCATATCACGAAAAATACCTCCGCATGCCTTTCACAAACAACAAGATCTACCAGTCAAAATTCAAGACATATTAGATGCACGGCGGGTGAGTTCTCTGTGTTACACAGTCAAGTAACACCCAAGTCTGTTGCAAATGAAGATTGTTGCGGAGTACTGATGAACCCCGAGGACTGGGCGTGTGACTGGTTGGAGTTCGAACAGCTTTGCAATGTCTCGAAAAGGGGTGCATGGTCAATGACCACAAGACAACATAATCTAGCCAATAACGACTACCCTGGTCCCCCCCTGCAGCGCTTGAACACCCGTCGTGTGGTTTTCTTTATAACACTATTTCTTCGTTTGAAGCAATCGGTGTTTTCGATCAAGGGAGCAAGACCTTCCAAGAGCATACATGAAAATCTCCTCTCTCCGCGTTTTCAGCTTTGTAACGTGGAATATCGAGCGGGAATTCTGTGCAGCTGTCGTCATCTATTGCACAAGCACGTTATATGGGTTTTCTTGCTTCCGAAGAGCACCTGCGGGAGGCCGATGTTTGAACTTGAGAGAAGCTTAGCTCAAGTCTCTTAACCACCAAGTTCTTACGAGACGTGGGTACTGCAAGTCGTGTATCTGTGGTCGCTCCCAGATGTGATATAAGAGGGGTCGGCGGTTGCTTCGTCCTCCTCTACTGTGTACAACGATACGGTGCGCTCTGGAGTAACGACAACATCCGACAGCGGTGTTTCACAGAAGGGTGTTACGTTGCTGCTGTGGATGCTACCCGCCCGTACTCCCAACGCTGTACGCACAGAAAGAGGCAATGCTACCCCTCCTGCCTCTACCACCATTTCCGGCGAGGTCCAGTTCTCTGAAAACCTTGCAAAAAAAAAATCCTTCCCTGACTACTTGTCCCTCCGCCGTCTCCACTCGGAGAGGGACCCACTACCTCTGGTCTGTTAAGTATTGCACGTCTTTCGTGGAATCAAAAATCAAACGATGCTCGCTGCCATCATGGTCTGGTGACTCGATGTACGCTACCATCTCCGGCTCAGCATCCTGGTCAACCGCAGGTGTTTGGGTAGGAGGTAGGGAGGTTCAAACCCACTCCATCTACGTGTTTTGGCAGTGCGGATGCCTGATTTCGAGGCTGCCCCGCATTCAATCATGCGCTTGACTACCTTCTCGGCCACATATGACTGGGGTGACCCGGTGTCAACTAACGCCACTGCTGGCTGCGCTACTCGGGCATGTGCCCCTGCAAACACACTCACCTTCGCGGTCTGACGGCTAGCACTCAAACATACCTCCCCTGCCTTGAAGTCAATGACTTCCTTCACAAAACTACTCGGTAGCTCACTCCCCAAAGTATCGTGTGCAACTCTGCCCGTCCGCTGTGTGTTTCACACGCTCAGGCTCGGAGCAACTTCATCCTTCACACTCATGACATCTACCCCCTTCCGTCCGCGTACCCTTGCCCTTTGGCTCTTGTTTTTAGTCTTTCTCCTTTCCGTGTGCCCCCCCTCTACTAAATTAATCTGGGTCAGAGGGGCCCTTGATCAGTACCTCACGCCTGATAAAAAATAAAAATAAGCGGCTGAACACATTAAACGGCAGTTGGCTAGCCCACCGGCGATCAGAAGTCCGCACTGCCACTTTTGTCGGCGTACAGCAGTAAAATAGACCAGTAGCTATTCAGGAAAGCTGGTTTCACGGAATTTCGTTGACAATAGCGCGAGAACTGCTCGGCGCAGGCTCCGAAACTCTGCCGAAAAAATGTGATACATGCCCCTGCTGCGGTCGAACCTGCTGTGGTGTGCACGCGCGGCAAGCTTAACACGAGAACGCGCCCTATACCTAACCACCCTGTCCACCCGCGCTCCCATCTTTCTCTTGCTTGATCTTGGCCGACAAAGCTTCTTGCTTGATGAACCAGTGTTTTCCTCCGCCCTGCTCATCCGGCCTCACACCTTTCTCTTGTTTAACCTTCGCCGGCAAATCTTCTTGCTTGATGAATCCGTTGACTGCCCTGGAGCCCCCACAGCCGTTTCGACGCTCATCCTTGGTGCTCGCGGGCATGCCCTCTTGCTTGACAAACGTATGTTTTCCTCCACATTGCCCGCCCCCAATCACATCTTTCTCTTGCTTGATCTTCGCCGGCAGCGCTTCTTGCTTGACGAACCCGTGTTTTCCTCCGCCCTGTGCGCCCCCTCTCCCATCTTCCTCTTGATTCATCCTCGCTGGCATGGTGTCTTCCTTGAAAAATATACCCGCTCTAGAACGGTCCCCGTGCTCTATCCTCGCCGGCAAGGCTTCGTCCTTCAGAAACCCGCGGCTTCCTCTAGGCACCACGTCCTTGACCATTGAGTGCTGCACCGTGTTCGTGTGTTCGTGCTTGATCTCAAGTCTGTTTTCCGCCCTCCTCTACATGGAAACCGCGTCTTCTTCGCTGTCTTTTCTGATACGGCGCGGGGCAGACCGAATGGGAAAAAAAACAGGCGAACGGGGTTAGTCTCAAGGGCATCACATTGCCCAGCTTTGAAGGAATAGTCTAGTCTATCGTGCGTAGGTTGCGTCACATACTTCAACCCTGGGATCAACTTTCACAGTCCGAAATAATTACAGCAGAGACAGTAGCTGCCGTGCTGAAAATGGTGGCGTTGGAACCGTCTTGTCGAGAGCTTTCGGCATCCACTTCAGCGTGGAGGAATTGAGTTTGGAATCGGTTCAAGGGGCGTGGATTGCGTGCGGGTAAAAGTGTCAAATGACCAGACAAGAAGCTGGGTTGGGTTGGGTTGGATGGGGTAGGATCGGGTTGGGCGAAGGGTAGGGTTGTGTTGGATCCGTCGATCGGGCAGCTTTGTGCCGCCTTCTTCGATCTCGCCGCCGTCGCTTCGTCGATCGTCGCCGTCGATGGTCCTTCCTGAGAATCAACCTCTCCCTTGAAGATGCATCGACATAATGGGACTTGTATCTAGCAGCATATCACGAAAAATACCTCCGCATGCCTTTCACAAACAACAAGATCTACCAGTCAAAATTCAAGACATATTAGATGCACGGCGGGTGAGTTCTCTGTGTTACACAGTCAAGTAACACCCAAGTCTGTTGCAAATGAAGATTGTTGCGGAGTACTGATGAACCCCGAGGACTGGGCGTGTGACTGGTTGGAGTTCGAACAGCTTTGCAATGTCTCGAAAAGGGGTGCATGGTCAATGACCACAAGACAACATAATCTAGCCAATAACGACTACCCTGGTCCCCCCCTGCAGCGCTTGAACACCCGTCGTGTGGTTTTCTTTACAACACTATTTCTTCGTTTGAAGCAATCGGTGTTTTCGATCAAGGGAGCAAGACCTTCCAAGAGCATACATGAAAATCTCCTCTCTCCGCGTTTTCAGCTTTGTAACGTGGAATATCGAGCGGGAATTCTGTGCAGCTGTCGTCATCTATTGCACAAGCACGTTATATGGGTTTTCTTGCTTCCGAAGAGCACCTGCGGGAGGCCGATGTTTGAACTTGAGAGAAGCTTAGCTCAAGTCTCTTAACCACCAAGTTCTTACGAGACGTGGGTACTGCAAGTCGTGTATCTGTGGTCGCTCCCAGATGTGATATAAGAGGGGTCGGCGGTTGCTTCGTCCTCCTCTACTGTGTACAACGATACGGTGCGCTCTGGAGTAACGACAAAATCCGACAGCGGTGTTTCACAGAAGGGTGTTACGTTGCTGCTGTGGATGCTACCCGCCCGTACTCCCAACGCTGTACGCACAGAAAGGGGCAATGCTACCCCTCCTGCCTCTACCACCATTTCCGGCGAGGTCCAGTTCTCTGAAAACCTTGCAAAAAAAAATCCTTCCCTGACTACTTGTCCCTCCGCCGTCTCCACTCGGAGAGGGACCCACTACCTCTGGTCTGTTAAGTATTGCACGTCTTTCGTGGAATCAAAAATCAAACGATGCTCGCTGCCATCATGGTCTGGTGACTCGATGTACGCTACCATCTCCGGCTCAGCATCCTGGTCAACCGCAGGTGTTTGGGTAGGAGGTAGGGAGGTTCAAACCCACTCCATCTACGTGTTTTGGCAGTGCGGATGCCTGATTTCGAGGCTGCCCCGCATTCAATCATGCGCTTGACTACCTTCTCGGCCACATATGACTGGGGTGACCCGGTGTCAACTAACGCCACTGCTGGCTGCGCTACTCGGGCATGTGCCCCTGCAAACACACTCACCTTCGCGGTCTGACGGCTAGCACTCAAACATACCTCCCCTGCCTTGAAGTCAATGACTTCCTTCACAAAACTACTCGGTAGCTCACTCCCCAAAGTATCGTGTGCAACTCTGCCCGTCCGCTGTGTGTTTCACACGCTCAGGCTCGGAGCAACTTCATCCTTCACACTCATGACATCTACCCCCTTCCGTCCGCGTACCCTTGCCCTTTGG